GGGAAAGAAAATCCTTTCAGATGTAATTGTCTGATAGTTAATATTTGTCTTGGATTTAAGAACTTCATTTAAAAAGGCTTAGTGCTTCTTTATTTTGCTTTGTTATATTAATCAAAATCTTTGCCTTTATTTGTGATGTTTTACTGAGGTGAAACTGATGAACCGAGGGGTTGGTGAACTGATGAACTTTTGGGGTTTCTTGTATCAAAAAAAACAATAAGACTTTTTTTTTTTAAGTTAGACTGGTGGTTGAAGCTTATCTAGAAAATCTGTTTGTGTTCATAATAGCATATTTTATTGACTGATAAATGCAATTTTTGTGTATATGTTGGGAGCAGACTTTGAATCTGAGCATAATACCAGAGGTGTTAATGGGAAGAGAAAATAATTGAAAGCTATCTTGCAATAGCTGATATTCCAATAACTTAAAGTAGCTAATGTCCCTGTCAGCTGCTGTGTAAGAGCAACCCATAGAAATAACATGGTTGAATGCTTAGGTGGAATTCAAAATCTTACTTTTTTCATTCTCCATTATCTCTTTGTGAGACTTAGAACTGATTATGTAACACCATTGAAATAGTGGAGTATGATTTAATACAGCTGACCATCTGCTTATGTGGTATGTCTGAGGCTGACTGGCTTATAGTACTAGAGATTCGGGCTCATCTTCCACTCATTTGCCTCAATATGAGATACTGCGTCAATGCTACTGTGGCTGAAGTTCATTTGCTCTATAACATGATCAAACTTTACAAACAGGAGAGTTAAGAAATAACTTTATGGAGACAACATAAGAAAAAGAGACATACAGAAGGCATTCAGAGAAGACAGAATAACAAAGGTCTTACTAGCTCTTGAAAGAAAGTTTTGGTGCAAGGAAGTTGAATTAAGCTGTGAAAAGCAGACAAGAAATGGCAGAATTACATGTTTTAAGGTAAGAAAATGGGGCAAAGGTAGGAAGAAGGAAGAGGAGAGAAGGGAAAAGACAAGACTGTTTTATTAGCCTTTTTGACAGTTACTTTATTTCTTAAAGAACATACAGACATCGATAATTCCTTTTGCCAAATGTTTTAATTAACTTTAACTGTTGAATAAGAATTTACAGCAGTAGCAGTATCTTAAGGTCTACTTTTTGACCCTCTTGAGAAAAAAAATAGCTTTCCACCTTTACCTGTCACATGCAATCAGTTGAACATTGTTACAGGTGGTAGGAAGATCCTGCATTGTCTGTAGATAAACTCAGAAGTCAAAGCTATTGAGAAATTGTTTTAATGAGTCATTACTCATCAGAAGGTCCCGAATAATAAGCTGTGTGAATATTCCTGACATACTCCACTTTAAAGGTAAAACACCATAACCACAATCGAAGTAGGTTCTGTAGGTCTCCCATTAGGTCTCCAGACTACCACTATCCCCATTTCACTTCTGCTTGTCACGGGCTGTATTCATGTCCACATTTATTCCACTCTAAGGACTCCGCGTCTGTGCATCACTTACTCTTGCCATTCTAGATTTTCTCTCTCTACAAGCACTTACATATTCTTCTCAGTTTTCTTCCTCTCCTTGTTTAGGAGTTGCTCTCATATCAGAGGTTCAAATGTCCTCCCCATTCCTCTTCATGCAGTTCAGATCAGCGCCCTGTATGGCAAGATCTCTGTCATTTTCCTCCAGTTCTAGGAACTGTGTATCTTTGTTCCCTGCAATACTTATTTTTATTTTTTTTTTTTTTTTAAATATATCTGATGTGAAATAAGTGAGTGTAGTTCTTCTGGGAAGTAAAGCAGACATGAGCCTTCCTTACACTGGGGGGTGTTAAAAGATGCCATCTTCTTGGTTTTTGACCTGTAACAGTGTAACAATTGTGCTCTGTAATTGTTCCATTTCTCCGCCATTTTCCTTCCCCTGGTTTTCCAGTGTCCCTCAAATCCATATAGTTTTGCCTATTTATGTTAGAACACTTGGATAATTCAAGGGAAGCAAATGTAACCTATGAAGTGTGGAATCTGTTCAAGAGGTGAGCATGTATGCATAGGCATTGTATCTGTGCTACCTCTTCAAGCACAATGTCTTCAGGTTACATGTGGTTAATGAGTGCCACCCAGAGAACCCCTCAGTCTTTCTCTGAAAACATCAGAAGTTTGATGGTTTTAGTCCTTTTACATTTAACCCATTATCCATAGAAGTATGTTCTAGTAAGTAATTATGAATACTGTTGCATTTATGCCTTCTCCCTTGGGTTTTTTGGCTTTAGTCTATAGCGATTTGTCCTTGATTTATGTTTGTCTATTATGCCAAAAAAAAAAAGTCTATTCACTACTTTCTTCTCATGAAGATTGTTCTGTCTAGTTGTTGATAAACAAAACAGTTTGTCAAGAACCTCTCGTCTTGTAAATAATTTTCTCCATCTTGCTTCCATATGTAGTGTTTCTATCTTTCCTCTATTTTATTATATTCTTTTATATATATGTTATTTCAATATTTGTCTTAACATTATGCTCTAAAAAGAGGGAAAAATCACCTTCCAGTTTCAGTTTATTTCTGCTTGTACATCAAAAAACTGCCTTAGCAATGTTCCATACTCTGCCACACCACGAACACGTGTTCAGTTTCTTCTTTGTTATGAAACCCAAATCATTCTGGATTCATGACTTTCCAGGATGTATCTGTCTTGTTTTCTGAACTTGGCACAAGCTTCTTAATTAGTGTTAAAATGTAATTTGTTTCAAATGGCCTGATTCATCAAGCAAATACATCCCCATTCATATTATTATCACAATCATCTTTGTGTGATCTGTGCATTTTGTTTGCCTTTATAATCACTGAAAAAAATTAACATAGCTCAATTCTGTGATACCTGATTTTATACAATTTATTTTACATAATTTCTTAGTAAATAGTTCTCGTCGGTCTTTCATTCTTTTGAAGTTGCTTTATATAATGTCCTCGTACAACATCATTCTATTTCTGTTATTTATTTAGACATTCATTGAGCAGAATAGGTAGACTTTTGAGAAAGGATATATCGGAGTTTATACATGTCTTTGTTAGGTTTTGCGTATTTTTTGTTAACACCATAGCACTTGCTTTTTTATTATGTCTAGATAAATTTTGATCAAGGAATACTCTAAAACTGCAACTGAATTTCTGTTAG